GGAGGGAGGGAGGGTTTTAGCGTTACCACTCGCTTGTCTTCTTGCTCTCGATTGTCCTCCCCTTGCATGTGTCGCACAGCCAGATGTCGCTCTCTTTGATGAAGAAGTGAACCGTAAACTCATAGCACCACCTGCCGCCTTCTCTCAGCATCCCGTCCTCTCGTCCTCTCGTCCTCCCCTCCTCCTCCTTTTCTTCCTCCTCCCATCCCCCGCCCTCCTCCTCCCCTTCCCTTGCTCTCTCTTCCCTTCCCCTAATCCTTGCCCACTCTCGCACTCACGAGCAATATGCCTCCTTCTTCTTCCTCGGAGCCGCAAGCTCTCCTGCCATGTCTCCATACATGGCTTTAGCAACCTGCGAGAAGTCAAGGAGGAGGACAGAGGAGAGGAGAGGAGGAGAGGGGAGGGGGAGGAGAGGGGAGGGGAGGGGAGGGGAGGATAGGGGAGGGGAGGGGAGTGTCACTGGGTTTGAGTAGGAAGAGGAGGGGGGGGAGGCCAGGGGGAGAGGAGAATGGTGGAGTGGGAGGGGATGTAATCGAAACAAGAAGGCAGGGGATCAGATACCTTTTCGTCCATCTTCTCGCGGGGTTGGCAGCATCCCATGGAGGCGAACACCTGCCGTTCACAAGAATGTCAGGCAGAAGAAACAAGGAGGGAAGGAGGGGGGAAAGAGAAGCTACGACATGGTTAGAGTAGCGGCAGGTGAAAGAAGCGGTAGGGCAGGCGAGGGCGTAGGAGCATGGGAGGGTATGAGATTTTCACCACGCCAGGATGGGTCGGGCGATTTCCCGCTCGAGGGACTGAGCCAGGAGGTCCACGCGACATGAGAGCCGAGAAACCTGAAGTGAAATACAAGAGGCTTTAGCCAACATCCTGATCCCATTCTTTCTTCTGCTTCTGCTTCTGCTCTTGCTCCTACTGCTCCTGCTCCTCCTGCTCTTGATGCTCCTCCTGCTCCTCCTGCGCCTACTCTTCCTCTTCTTGATCCTGCTCCAGCTGGTCTGACTCATCGCGCTCCTTGTGCTCCTTCTCCTTGTGCTGCTCCTCCCGCTAGCCGCGTCATCGCCAAAACCAATTCGCATCTGGTCTACCTTGACCACCCCTCCTCATCACCGTTATACCACCCGTGTTTATACCCCACCCTCCCCATATCGCTTCCTCAAAGGGGTAAGGAGAAGGTGCACCCAGCACTACCCACCATTATATGGATCATGATTGGGGTGGTAGGGCCAGGTGGTGGTTAGAGTCACAGGTGGGGGTAGTAAAAGGGCAAGGAGGGGTGGGGGTCAACGATAAAAACACTTTCCTGTCGCTTTCGTTAGGGTCATGGCGTTGGAAAGGGAAGAGGAGAAGAGAGGAGAGGAGAGGAGAGGAGAGGAGAGGATAGGAGAGGAGAGGAGAGGAGAGGGGAGGGGAGGGGAGGCGAGGCGAGGTGAGGGGAGGGGAGGCGAGGAGAGGAGAGGAGAGGAGAGGAGAGGAGAGAAAAGGAGAGGAGAGGAGAGGAGAGGAGAGGAGAGGGGAGGGCAGATGAGGAGAGAAGAGAAGAGAAGAGAGAGAAGAGAAGAGAACAGGGAAGGGGAGGGGAAGGGGAGGGGAGGAGGGGAGGG